GACAATACTGTACTACCTCCTACAAACTCCCCCAAACACAAGTATCTACTTACTTGCATCCACTGTCCATATACTCTGTTTTTTTTCCTGTTATTGTGCATGAACTTTCTATTCTCCTGGCTAAGAATAATTATTCCCTTTGTGCAGATGATTCCATCCCTTCTTACCCACCAAGAACTTCAGTCCAGCAATTTGCCATTTCTCTACACACTCATTTCCATCTCTATCAAAACAAAACTTTGTCTGACCCCACTTCTGCATGCAGTTACTAACCATTTCTTGCTTTTCAAAAATCCTTGAAATAACTGCCTATATCATCTTTTCTCCCACTCCCTCTTAAATCTACTCCAGTCAGGTCTTTTCCTCTCTTCCAAACTCCACCATGACTTTACCAAGACTACTTTTGTCAAGATTTCCAATGACCTCCTCATTTAAAAAATCAGGTTTTAGTGTTACACATACTTTGACTCACTAGCAGCATTTTCCTTTTGAAATACTTCATTCTCTTGCTTTCCAGAACATTTGCCTGGTCTTCCTTCAAATTTTTAGCTACTCTGTTCTTTGCTGTTTCTGCCACCATTCTCTGACCTCCCTGACCTCTTGGAATACCCAAAGGCTAAGTCCTTAGACCTCTCCTCTGTCCTACCTATATTCCTTCCTAAGCAATTTTATATAATCTCCTGTTTTAATTATATATATATAAATAAATATATATATATATATATATATTTCAAATGTTTTGACTAAAAATATTTTAACATTATAATTCATATCTTTCCCTGAACACCAGACAAGTATATCCAACACCCTATACAACATCCAAAATTTAGCATGTCCAATTGAATTCATGATGTATACCCACAACTTATCCCTCACCAGTAACTTTCAATCTTTGTTAATACCCAAGTCTTTCTCATCTCAGTTGATAGTTACTACATTCTTCTAGTTGCTCAGAACTCAAGCTTGGAATTAACATTTATTTTGTCCTGTTTTAAAACCTGACATCTGACCACCAATTCCCTTTGACTTCATCTGTTATATCTTTTTCACTTAGCTGTAGCCACAGTGGCCTACTTACTGTTCCTCAAACACTTAGATCAAACCTCTGTAATTAAGATATTTCCACCTGGAAATCTCATTCCTCAGATACCAGCATTTCCTTTTTCATTTTCCTTAAAGTCTTTGTTCAATACTTGTTCTCCTTAGTACTTATCACTACCAACATGCTATGGTTTTTATTTGTTTATCTTATTTGAGTCTCCTCCACTGAAATGTGAGCCATATTATAACAATGATTTGGTTTTTGTTCACTGTTATACTCCTAGCAAAAGGAACTGTGCCTATCAGATGGTAGGTGATTATAGGTATTTGGTGAATGAATGAATGAATGATGGAAAAGGGAGAAAAAGCAACTGCAGACATAATTAAATGAACAGAAAGTCTAAGAAGTCACTGGGCTTTTCTAACTACCTAAATGGTCTTTATTATATTCACAGCAATTGAGAGAAAATAACTTTTCATGATGTTAGAATATAATGAAAAGAAAGTTTTCTTGAAAATTAGAAGTATAACCACTCTAACTTTTAAATCAATTGAAGGGGGAAAAAAGCAAAACTGAAAAATCTCATAGAACCTAGAATAAAAAAGGAAAAGATGGGGGCTGGGGATATAGCTTATTTGGTAGAGTGCTTTCCTAGCATTCACAAGGCCCTGAGTTCAATCCCCAGCACCACCACTAAAAAACAAAAAGGAAAAGATGGAAAGAGAGTGAGACAAAGAGAAGCAGAAAACCAGTCCCAGAAAGAGAAAGGGAAGAAAGAAATAAGGAGAGAAAATTATTAAGGAATTCTTTTTAACTTTCTTATTTTAAAGGAGGTTCTTTAAATTCAATATCAAGCAAAGAAGTGGAAAGAAAACCCACATCTAGCCACATGACAAAATTCCTAAGACAGGAAGGATAAAGAGAAGAACACATACACTTTCACTGAGGGAAATATTTTTTATTTAAAAAATTTTAAAAGAACAAAGGGACAATAATCAGACAAGCAGCAAACTTGTACCTGCTGCCCAAAGTAATCAATGCAATTTTTTTAGATCTTAAATGTTTTTCTTTTTGAAAGACATAAAACCATAAAGATATATTTGTTACCCTCTAAATTACCTTTCCCAATTCTACCCACCATAGCTCTTAAGGAAAGTGACTTTTTAACCTAGAATTCCATGTTCAGCTAATTATCAACCAAACATGAAGTTACTTTCAAATAGTCAAGGACTCAGGAATTTTACTTCCTAGGTACCTATTTTGAGATAATTATTTGAAGGTGTTCCTCAGCAAAATCAGGATATAAACTCAGAGAAAAGAAGATGTGGAACTAATTTAGGAAGGATGAAATCCCAAGATAGGACATGTGCAATAGCTCAAGAAATTCATTAACCAGAGGGAACCAAGAAAAATGCTTCCAATAAGATACAAATGTATACCAAGCAGTAGATGAAGAGACTAAGGAACTACAAAATTTGGTCACCCAATAAGGAAATCATATTTTTTTCCTCAATAAGAAAAAAATAAAAGTAATTATAAACTTCAGGAAAACAACATCTGGATACCCATAGTCCAGATAGAAAGCAAACTAAAATGTGACATTATTTAGAACAAGTAATAAACTTTAATGTTAGAAACTTTGTCCTTTGAATGGTGAAATGGTTGTAACACTGAAATTATGGATGAGAAAACATTATCAGAAAACACTAGTGTGATCACTGCATTACAAAAATTTATAATTTAAAAAGAGTTGACTAACAATGATAGCCTTTGAAAAAGTAAGATTTTCTAAAAACTTGTTAACATATTCTACTTGATTAAAAATGCATCATGATTCAAAATAAGAATGAAGGGGAAGGCTACTAAAACCAGTGGGTAAACATATAATGTAAAATAGAATATTCACATAGTCTCAAAATATCTGCTTACAAATTCCTTATTAATCTCAGGAAGAAAACAGTCAAGTTAGTGGACAAACCTGGCAGATCACAATGAGAAACAAAGTGAAACAAAAGGGTATTAAAAATGGGAAAGAAAACAAGAGACAGAAAGTCTTCATGGGGATTAAGGAAAGACGGGTGATACCCTGCAGTCTCCTTAACTGTAAAAAAGAGGTCTCATTTTCAATCTTATTATCGATTTTGATTCATCAAACAGCATCTTTCATAGTTTTATACACAGTCACCTATACTAATGACTCTCAAGTTACTTGTTTCTAGAATTGACTCTTTTCTAAACTTCAGTTATTATTTGCCAAATGCCACTAGAAATCTTTAGCCTGTATTTCTGCTAATTCCTCACATTTACTCTATCAATGTTATTCTCTTCATCTCTCTCTCCAATCCGACACTCCCCTAGCCCTCTTTCTCAATGAGTAACATTTGTATACACCTTGACCCTTTCAGCCATCTTCAATTACTTTCTCTCATTCATCCCCCTTTCAGTTCAATTCTATTTCAATTTTTAAAATTCTTATTAAATATCTGCTATTCACTATGTGCTTCATTATGTGCCTAGGAATAAAATATTAATAAGATACAAATCCTCTAAATTTTCTTTCCAAAATGTGGTTCAAATTCATTCAATCTTCCCATTCCCGAGGCCATAGTCTTTGAATAGACCCTCATTCATTATATTCTCCATATTCTAACTCATCTATCTGCAGTCACTTCCCTCAAATCCCCAATGGAAATAGTTCTGTTTTTTTCTAAATCTCAGATTTTTCCATCACCCAGTTAAAAATAGCTATTGCATAGTCAATATTAATGCCAAATATAAAGGACTTAGTTAATGACTAGGAACAGTATTTATCTGATAATTAATAGCAAGTTTTAGAGCACATTTATTAAAAATCAGTTTTTTTTATGTATAAAGTCCTAATATTGCTTATGGAGAAAAGAAACTAGAAATAAATATGCTCAATACATGTTTTTGTAGGAATTAAACCAAATTTAAAAATGTAAATATTTACATTGGCTCATTTTACTTAACAGTTATAGAAAATGGACTATCTAAGCAAGTTCCCATGTATATATGTATATATCTATCTATAGTGAATTTTTTTTTTCATTGTATAGTTCTTGATAGTTCTTTCAACTTTAAAACTTATTTAAACTCAACTCTAATTATAGAGTTATTTTATATTGAAGTGTATGTAACAACATGGATATGAGATAGCAAGGAAGAAAAAGAATTTCTGAAAATACGATGTAGGCATAAAAATATTTATACCTTTTCCACAAATAAATCTTTAATGGAATATCTACATTTGCCTGAAAATGGCAAAAACAGAAGTAGAACCAGGGGAGCACATTCTGACTTGCAGCCATTACTATGTGCAGCTATAAGCCATGTATTTACCATTAGACTAGAATGGACTCAAATGCCTGGCATAAAATCTATACTCTTGAATCCATTGTCTTGTAAAATAAAATCATACCAATCTCCATATAAATGTTGGGTGAAATTACTTCATAGACATTGGCATAAAACATTTTGCTTTAAGAATAATAACCAAAATTAGGTCATAATAATTTTAAGATATGTAACCTATAAGAGAAAGATATAGAAAAGACTCTAAAGAGGCAACAGTGTTATGGTTTCCTGTCATAATCAACTTATATACAAACATACCCTGAACTCATTATCAATAACTGGGTTTTGCTTATGCATTTAAAAACATCTCATTTAAATAGAAAAACTTAAGTTTAAAAGGAAATCTGAGTTCTCATTCATTCCTCTACTATTAATAAAGAGTTTTAAAAGCTGTCCTTTGAAAAGTCAATACAAACATTATTAAAAGGATGATCAAAACTAAAGGCATCAGAAATAATGTACAATTTTAGAATGTTATCTTTCTACTTAAACCAATAATATATATTGTTTTAATCTAAGGAAAGACATTTACATTGTGAACTTGTTTTCCCATCAGAAATTTAAAATTATAGTATCTACTTACCAACCCAATACAGTTGCTTAAAGCCACTTTAGTTGTACTACGTTGATCTTGCAAGTATCCTGTGTAATGACAGTTGTCTAAAAAATCATGTTTCCACTGGGGTCCATCTTTCCCCCAATATTCTACTGTAAAATGTTTGGACACAAAATTTGTATTGAGAGTCAAGTTTAGGTGAAAGTGCTTGCCATAGGCTGAAAGTTTAAAAAATAACTTAGATACTGCCTGCTGTGGATCAATAGGGTCCATACTCCGTCTTCTCCTTGAGTGTTTATCATTTTTCACAGTAAAGCTGAGAAAAGCTCCATTTTGATCAACCCTTATTGGAATAGTTAGCTGGTAGTGTTCAAGATAAGTCAGGAATTCCTCTTTGTAATCACAAGGCAGAGAATCCAGAAAAAACACATGGAAGAAAAGAAAATTTAACAGAACAAAGAAGCAGCAATATACACAACTATGTCAGTTAAAACTATGCATCATTATTATATGTGAGGTATGGACCCAAAAATGTTATATTAAATAAAAATGAAAGAGTTAAAGTTTAAAATCTAAATATTAAGTTTTAACTATTTAATTCTTCAAAACAATATTATTTTGAAATTATTTGTGAAGGACTAGTTCTCTTTTTTAAATTTCATTTTTAAATTTAATTTTTTAAAACATGGATTCTAAGAACTAAATTCTATAAGAAGTATGAACGTTTTCCATGGAAATAAAAAGCAATGAAAAGTACACCTATGTAAAAAAAAAAGAGTTTCGCTCAGACAAAATCTGTATTTGAAAGTTATTCTAAAAAATTTATATAGAATCTCTATAGCCTTGTAGAATCAGTGGGAATGTACAATGCTGTAGCCACTTTGGAAAACACTTTGATAGTTCCTCAAAATGTTAAACATGGAATCACAACATGATCTAGCAATTCTACTCCTAGGTACATACACAAGAGAAATGAAAACACATATCCACATAAAAACCTATATGTGAATGTTCATAGCAACATTATTCATAATAGCCAGAAGGGGAAATAACCCAGTTTTCTATCATTGATGAATAGATACACAGAATATGGTATATCCACATAATGAAATATCATTTTATAATAAAAGGAAAGCAGTATTGATACAAGTTATAACACATAATAACTGTCTTCATAATAAAAATTTCTTTTCTCACATTATAAAAACATTATGCTAAGTAAAAGGAGCCAATCACAAAAAACTGTATATTATGTGATCCATCTATATGGCACATCCAGAATAGGCAAATCTCTAGAAAGAGAAGTTCAGAATTAGAGGTTGTCTGGGACAGGGATAGGGATTGTTTGCAGCAAATTTGGGAGTGACTGCTAATGAGTATAGATTTTATTTTTAGAGTAATGGAATATTCTAAAACTGATTTGAATGATGGTGGTACAACCCTGAAAATACTAAAAACCATTAAATTGTATACTTAGGGTAGATTATATATGTGTATTACATTTCAATAAAACTATTTTTTTTTAATTTGAAGGACTATTAAACATTTTTCGCATGGGATGTACTAAACATTATTTATCTACCTTCTTTTAATTTTTAACAAATTTTTTTTTCTAATATGGAACTAAGTATAGAAACTGGTGCTTTATCAGAAATTTAAAATTATAGTATCTAATTACCAACCCAATATAGTTGAATGCTTTATCACTAAGCCAAACCCCAGGCCTCTACCTTCTTTTTAACACCTTCCTTCAGGTAGGTTTACCATTAAGGGAACACAAATGTCTATCTATTGCCTTACTGCCTATATATGGAGTTCATCCCACAAATACAAACTCCCATGAAACTATAACCAAATGGAAATAAATTGAAAGACACTGCCTATTTCACTTTTACAAATAAGAGTTTATAGTAAATGCTATGGCTCTGCTGATCTACTTTGAGATCCACAGTGTTTACATGTGGACTTTTAGACATGTGCAATTTGTAAATCTTGAAAATCTAATTCAATAGCACCAAAAAATGATTTGTTGCTAAGGATTCATAGGAGGAAAATCTGAAATGTGTACCTTTCAATAATTCTATAAGGAATAGACTGGTCCATGGAAAGCAAAATGACATTTACTTTGGGACCATTTTTGTTAAGATCATTTCTATGACATAAAGTTCAATCCCATAGATTAAAAACTTAAGGATTAGAATTTTAAAAATTTGAATTTATAATTCTAACACTTTTGCCCACATCTTAGACCTTAGATCAGAATTCTTCACTTTGGAAAAGTATTTTTTCATGAATTAAAAGGGTTCTCTATCAGAATTTATCTGCTTTCTTCATCTTCCTTGGATTCTCTTTGAAAATGATCTTGACTACAAACCTTAGCAATGAATGAGCCTATTAAAACTTAGGATTCAGAAGCAGCAGCTTGGAGGTCTATCATTTACCAAGAAAGACTAGTCAACTCTAAAATTCACAGAAAATTAAACAGACTCTTAGTAGGACAACTTAGAACTTTAGAGCTCTTAATGTTTCTAAAACCAGCACCTAAATGACACAGTAGGCCTCTGTTCCTATCATTAGAGTCCCTGAGAAAGTGTTCACTCCAACTAAATATTCAGAATTTTTTCTTATCAAATTATTAGCAATATTTTTTTGTCAAGTTTTTGTCAAGTTGCAAAAGCATGAGTCCTACCTTGAGAACTGTATGAAAGTCTGTGGTCGCTATGAAATTCCGATGAAGCCATGACAAGGCTCAAAATCCAGGTCAACGTCTTCCACACAATTTCCATAATTTAGAAAACTGGATGATTTTTGGAGGGCTACCTATGTGCTAAAGAGTCAACACCATACCAAAATCGAAGCATAACAATTTTATTTCTTTAAAACTTCTTTCAAGTTAGTTTTTAGATGTTCCACTGTTTAACAGGTTCTTTTTTCCAACATCCTGCACTTTCTTCTATATCTGGATTCATTTTCTCAATCCGAAATGAAAAAAATAATGATAGTAAAGATTTTCATAAGCAAAGCATTAGGCTGATTAGTTACTAAAGTATGGCCATTTTTTAACCTAGAAAAACAAAAAAAAATTAAGTTAACTGAAAAATATTCTGAATGGAGAGACCTTATACATTATTTAATGCTTGCCAAAGACATAACTGGAAAGTATTTTAATATAGTCAAATTAGACCATTGTTATTCTTTATAGTCTAAATAAGCATTCACAAGATTAAATGCTGAATTGGAGATCTAAATGGTTAGCAGGATAATGTCACAGCTACCCAACAATCAAAGAATGAAACTGAAGAAGAATTATATTTTTTTTTAAACTTCGAAGATCACAATGAATGGGTACAGTGAGATAACCTCCTTTTCATAAAATAAAAAATAGACTGACTTCATATTCTAATTCATTATATGTATCTGACAAATAGTTTGTGATTCCATTCCTTAACAGGCTTTTTAAGCCCATTCCTATCCAGAGACTGCTGTGTTGCTTTATAAGGCACTTATCATTTATTCTGACAAAGCAGATCTACAAATACAGTGACATTTATCAGCTGTGTGTGAACACAAACTCAACTTCTAAAAAGGTGAACCAAACTTACTGTAACTCTTGACTTTATTTGCAGTCTTATATGACTTATAAGGCAATTCAAATAAGGCAATTCCAACTCTCTAAAATGTAACTGAAAAGAAAAGAAATTTTAAAACTTCACTTCAGGAATCACAACAGATTTGAAGTTCTATCTCATATATTTTACTTTTGACTAAAAACTCACTTAGAATCCATGTATTCACATTTTACTCAGAATACTAACACATTTGGGTCCCTGATTTTCTAGCACACAGCAGAGAAAATAAAATTTAGGAGAAAATAAACCGGGCACATGGCACCCACCTATAATCCCAGCATCTCAGGGAGGCTGAGGCAGAAAGATCTTGAGTTCAAAGCCAGCCTCAGCAACTTAGGAGGCCCTACACAACTTAGCAAGACCATTTCTCAAAATAAAATATAAAAAAGGCTAGGAATGTGACTCAGTGGTTAAACACTCCTGGGTTTAATCCCTGGTGCCATTTAAAAAGAAGAAGAAGAAGAAGAAGAAAATAATCAAGGAACTAAAACCTACCTCACTAACACCAAAACAGTGACAAAATAGGACAGAAGACTACAAAGCAGTTATAAAATCCCAAAGTAATTCAGTTTGGGGTAGAGGCAAATCATTCTGAACATAGTTTAATAGTTTCCATTGTGTATAAAACAATCAGAAATAAAATGTTGAATTATTATTGTAATAAGACAAACTATTATTAATAAGATAGGGAAGAACACAAAAGATGCTAGGAAGATTTTTTATCCCAAATCCCTAATATATGGGATAGTAATTAATGCTTACTTCTTATTATATAATTTCTCATTTGAAAACAGAAAAGTAAATGAATTAATAATTAAATGAGTAGTGGTTAAAATAAAATCATTTTAGGTATCTAAAAATATCTATAGTTAACTGGAAAATTAACTTATGTGGAACACTTTATTCTCTATGTTGCTAGAAATATTGGTTCTTTAACATATAAAACAATCACAACTATATAAAATTCCTGACATCTGTCTCTACAAGTTATTAAACTGCTAAGCCTTGGGGAAACTAATTTATTAATCAACAAATATTGTCTTACTATATTTAAAAGATGATGTTATAACAACATCAGAATACAGAAAGGATTAAGGGATACGGAGAAGATTAAGATACAATCCTTGCCCTTGAGGAGCTCATAATCTAAAATAACAGAAGAGCTCAAAGCAGACTGATAAATGCCATAATGACATTATAAAAAGTTGTTATAGGCGATCAGATGAAGGAGATGACTTTTAAGACAGAGAATAATAGATTAAAAAAAAAAAAAAAAAGCTTGTGAAAAAAGTAGTATTTGAAATAGGTCCTAAAAATGAACTAAATTTCACAAGTCAGATTATTGGAGGTAATCATTACAAATAGAAGAAATATATTCAGGAAAGTCCAGGTGGCAAGAGAAAAAAATGGAAATAGCAAATGGTATTAATAATAATATAAGTAGTAAATCTGGTTTCTGTGCAGAAGACTAATAGGTAATATCAGGTAAGGAAGTTAAAGGTCAGATCAAAAATAAGAAATTTAAAACACATATTAACTTCTTTCAATCTTAACTCACAACAATTTTGTGACATAGATATTGTACCATGGTAGGGCAGACTCTGATGTCCTCAATGCTGACTTATGATATCCATACCCCCGTGGAATCCCCTACACCACCACTTTGAATAATTTAATTCTAACCAAGAGAATATATTCACATTGAGGGGATATCATTTCTTCGGTTAGATTACAAAAGATTCTTGCTTCCATTTTGCTAGCCAACTCTGTTTTTGTTAGTTTAAAGGAAGCTGCTGTATGAAGACCTAGAAGAAAGGAATTGAGAGCAGCTTCCAGATATCAGTAAGGAACCAAGGCCCACAGTCCAATAGTATGCAAGAGACTGAACCCTGCCCACTGTTATGTGAGCTTAGAAAGAGATTCTTCCCCAGTCAAGCCTCCTGTGGAAACTCCAATCTTTGCCAACGCTTTGATTGCAACCTCATGAGAAACCCTGAAGCAGAAGGCATTAAGTCACTTAGTTTGCGGTTAATTTGTTATACTGTAAATGATAACTAATACAGGCACCAATTTACAGATAAGGAAGTTGAAATTCACAGAGATCAGATTGCCAGAAAACAGGAGAGTCCAGATTCTCACACAAGTCTATCTGGCTCTAAAGCCCGATTTTCTGTATTGTCCCACACTTCCAGTTTGAGGTACTCTAGCTTAAACATTCAATAGTAGTTGTATACAACCAATGTCATATAAGATAGTCATAAATGGTATAGGTTAGTTAATGTGAGTAGTTTTTAGCAACTTTACATACAATTTTTCATCTCAAATTTACTTCTACAATGACTAAATCATACTTTTTAAAGTTTTTCATTTATAAAGAGATTAAGTCTAAGTCACATTATTATTCAATAACAATAGTGAAAAGAATCTATTTACCTTGGTTTCCAATCTACTTACATACAGTATCTATCCTCTAACCATAACCATGAGATATTAAGATATAATTACTTCATTAAAATATTCACTCTTAGTATTTCAGTTGTTTTCAAATCACTAGAATGTCATAATATCTGACATTAAATGAACACTTCATATACTTTAAAGTATTATCTTCCTTTAAAGAGGTATGTATAATTGGTATATGTGAATTGATTTTCTAGTAGAGGTTACAGATTTGTTCTGAATCACTCATCCCTTTTCTCCTGTTTCCCTGGACATTGAAACTAATAACAAACTTATAATCTAGTTGGCTAGATTAAGGGAACAACTATTTTTCCCTTTGTGAAATTCCTGCTCTTTTCAGCTGCAAGGGGGTCACCCTTACCCTTCCTAAAACTGTACTGTAAACACACAAGGTAATTAAGCCAGTAGCATTAAGAGAGAGGGAAACAAAAAATAATGTGTAACTATTTTGCCAGAAGTAGACTAACATGATTTAAGATTTTAGTAAAAAGGATATTGGTGCACAGAACGAATAGGAGCTCTGTAATTAAGCAAACGAGATAAGGTCTTGGTTCCATGGCTAGCTACAGCATCTGGTACATGGGCACTCAATAAATTTGGGGGATTTTTCTCCTTCTCACTTTCTCCCTCCTTACTTTCTTGCAAGCCTTCAATGCTCAGTGAATGACCTTAACACTATTACTTAGCTATAACTGACCTAAAATCAAAACTAACATATCTAACCAGTCTTAAATGAGTTAACCTACTTTCTAACACCTGCTGGGGAGGTTAATCTACACATCATAAACAAATATGTACAAGCTCTGACTTTCTGGATATGGTTTCCAATGTTCAGACTAACACAAAACACTAGACAATCGTCCAGAAATCATAATACATTAACCCTAATAATGCAGAAGCATTATTAGGTTGTAGAAAGTACAAAGGCTTTGAGTCCTGGCTTGACTCCAAATTACAGACCTCTGTGGATTTGTCTTCACATCTGTAAAATCATGATAATGATATCTACTTTACAAAGGCTTGTTGAGAGAATGAATTAGGTTACAGCTGATGTAAAGTGCATACTTCACTTTAATGGCTAAATAAGCTTTAGCTCTCATTATATAGCATCATTTTTCAAAGGCCATCCTCAAAAAGTTTCATGTTCCTCTTTCCCCTAAAAAATGTGAAATAATTGGATATCATGATAAAGTCAATCAACTAGGATGAATTGTCTTTTAAAGAAAGAAAACAGTAAAAAACTTAGGTCATGATAACTGTACTCATAACTATTTTAATTTTGAAAACACTATCAAAACTTTATTTTACTTTGATTCATATATACTCTTTTACATCATTCAAATGCACCAACCAGTAAAGCTAAGGAATCTTTTACCTGCTTCCATGGATTAAATCTACACTACCAAACCAGAAATAAGATCAAATAACTTGCTCTACAGTGATTGCCTCAGTAGTCTGACCTGCTTGAAGGATATTACTTGACTTTTTCCTCTATTATCTTTACTTCCCATTCAAGTGATCTGGGATTAGCCAAGGTAATAATTTCCTCTCATGAACTATTATTATGGAGCTAATGAACATGTGTGACATCCTTCTTGACTTCTTTCATTCATCTTAACTCTGGTTATTTTATTCTGGAAGAAGCAACAATACCATGCAACTTTCAGGTATTTAATTTTCATAGTGAAAATCAACCTCTCATTCACTTTCCATTTATTCTTTCAACAAATATTTATCACC